AGAGTTGGAGAGATGAGTGATTAGAGTGATTGACAGAGTGAGAAAGAGCCTGTCAGTGAGGGAAAAGTCTGTGTGAGCTAGTGCCTGAGAAACAGTGATTGTCAACTTAATTTTATAACAGTGATTCACCCTTTTTATTTTGTGTAATCAATAAATCTTTTATTTGTTTGAAAGAAACCCTTGTCCTTTTGATTTAAAGGATAGTTTGGTGGCAGCAAGTTTTTGAAGAGAAGTAGTGGGCACTCTTATAGGCCTGGATGGGTAGAGGCTTCAGAGTGGCCTGCTACAGCCACCATCTTGATTCAAAGAAAACCGTTACCTCGTTCCCAACAACCCTTATTATCTGCTAGTATAAAGTCTTTTAAATGTACCCTGTAACATTACTTAAAGAATTACAGCTATCAAGTTTCTTTTCATCCATTTAAAATTCTGCATGTGTACTAAGGCATAAATTTCAACGTTTAATTATACTTAAAGAGCGAGGAAAGCATTCATAGGTTGCAGTTGCTTAACCGCGCAGACCAATGCAGATTTCCTCTATGTATAGCTTTATTTATTGAATCGTATGGTCCATCTTATCTCTATATATTTTATTTATTCATTTTTGTGTAAACATATTTGATTTTTGATTAAATACATATTTCTCTAGATATACTGTGTAGAAGGAGGAAAGCTGAGAGCAGTAATAATCTGAACCTCAATCCTACACTCCTATACCTACACACCACTGAGTTTAGCGAGCAATGAGCAAGACTGTCTACTGCTGGACTTTTCTCAATTTTTTTTTTCAAGAAACTGACTTTGCTATGTAAAGTGCTGCATTAGGCTATACTATGCCTCCCTTGCAGGGGGGAAGGGATCAAAAATTTCTAACAACCTTTATCCCACCCAACCCTTGCTCAAAAGACAAATTCTGAGTCATTTTTCTCATTCACAAAAAGATTTCCTGTGTGTACTACAGCCAGGCCCTTGTTTGTAGTTTATAGGACTTCCTCCTTCTTCTGTACCATCCCCTGGATGGCAAATTGCTAAAAAGGCAGAAGTGAAGGTTTCTGTCTCTAGCCTTTGCTTCAAATTCTGCAATCTTCAGCCAAAAAATGAGGTGGAAGAGGACCACTGGAGGTTACAGGGGGTAAATTGGTCCATCACTTTGGCACAATCAGTGTTGCTTCTCAGGTCTTCCTCCAGTGCAAAAGGAAAGAAAAACCAAGCAAGAGTAAACTTAATGCCTAGTTCAAAAAATTAAGTTGAGTTATCTCCCTGTTATTTGAAAACTCAAGGAAATCATTCTCCCTTAGATCAGGCTAACCGAGGCTCAGAAAGGGGTTTTGGAAGTGTGGTCTGGCATTTAGGTTTGATCTTTCAGACACATGTGCTTTGGCACTTTTGGGATGAGAAACCACGCAACACTTACAATGGGTCTAGTTTTCAAAAGTACAAAAGTCACATCTCTGCAGTCTAAAACATACTGGAAAGTCAAACAATGTTCTTTGTTTATTTCTTTGAAAAAACAAATAGCATTGAATTAGACGATAAACAAGAAAAATTAAAACCTTTGAGAACAGAGGAGGGAGGGCGGGAGGAGAAAGGGTTAACTCTCCAGAAACCTAGCTGAATAATCAGTAACCCCTTCCCAGCTGCATATTGTTTGCATTTTAAATCTGCTTTGCTGAAGAAACAGGACTCTTTTTATTTTATTTTATTTTATTTTCCCACTCTCTTTGGAAGTGGGGCATCAGTGAATTGGATAATGAATAACAAAAAGAAAAATGTTTGGAACAGAGATTACAGGAGAGAAAAGAAAAAGTTAATTCTACCATGAACCTATAATTAATAACTCCTTTCTAGCTGGATATTGTTTATATCTTAAATCTTCATCTCCAAATTTAAAAAACTTTAGTGGAGGATTCAGTTGTGGATAATTTCTCTTCATACAATGGAATTTTTTTTTAAATTAATGTAAGTCATGCAGCTTATCAGCAATGGTCTAGCAAAGTAAAAATAATAACCATTCCACTTCCTCTACCCTACCAGCACCACCACCAAGAAGAAGTGTCTGATTGGCCAACACCATGAAGTGGGTTGCTTATTAAGCCACTTTACAAAACCAGAAATTGACGGCAGAAGCAGCTTTGACTGCTTTCTTCATAGTCTGTTTCCAGTGATCACAGTCTGAAAACAGACCAAAGTACAAAGTATCTGCACCAAAAATGTGGAAGTCCCAACAGTGATTATGTCCTGATTTCCTTGCCCCCCCCAGCACTGCTTCTCAGTGGATACCTGCCAGAGGAGATAGAATTTGGAACCATGGAACACCTGTTGGACCAACAGACAAATCATCTTTAATTATGTATTCTGATCTCTGAGCAAAAGCGGTTCAACTTGTGCCTACAGTGCACCAAATAGCAGGGCACATGCCCATCTGATTGAGCCCTTTAATTCTAATTGTTAGTATTGATCTTGGATGTTTACCCACACAAGAACACCATCTCAAGACAAAAATGCCTTCTGTTATTACCCTAAGTCATTTTCAACTAGACAGCACAGAACATACTAAATGTTTTTTTTTTTTTTTTTTTTTTTTTTTTTTTTTTTTTTTTTTTTTTTTTTTTTTTTTTTTTTTTTTTTTTTTTTTTTTTTTTTTTTTTTTTTTTTTTTTTTTTTTTTTTTTTTTTTTTTTTTTTTTTTTTTTTTTTTTTTTTTTTTTTTTTTTTTTTTTTTTTTTTTTTTTTTTTTTTTTTTTTTTTTTTTTTTTTTTTTTTTTTTTTTTTTTTTTTTTTTTTTTTTTTTTTTTTTTTTTTTTTTTTTTTTTTTTTTTTTTTTTTTTTTTTTTTTTTTTTTTTTTTTTTTTTTTTTTTTTTTTTTTTTTTTTTTTTTTTTTTTTTTTTTTTTTTTTTTTTTTTTTTTTTTTTTTTTTTTTTTTTTTTTTTTTTTTTTTTTTTTTTTTTTTTTTTTTTTTTTTTTTTTTTTTTTTTTTTTTTTTTTTTTTTTTTTTTTTTTTTTTTTTTTTTTTTTTTTTTTTTTTTTTTTTTTGTTTTGCGAGGTAGTCGTCTAGCAAGGCACCACTGCATAGCAAATAAATCCATGCAGGTTTGTGGTAACAGAACCAGAGTTATACATGCTTCTTGGCGGATATTGGCGGTGTCCACTGGACCATTTGGTCACCAAAAAGTTTATTTTAAAATTGGACATGAAGAGGTTACCATTCCAAACAGCCATTTCTTTTGCAGCTACAGCATGCTTCCCTGAAGGCTACTGGCAATTGGATTACAAAGGCTGACAAAAAAAGAAGGTCCAAGAAAGCAGGAGGACATTCCTAATAGCATTATTTTCATGTTCCTTAGAAGCCACATCCACTGCTAGGAGAGCAAAGCAATTTGCCACCACACACTAGAAAAAAAGTAGTGAAACATCTGTTCCAAATGATGTCTGCAAGAGGGTTTTTTCCAAGAATAAAGAAGCATAGAGAATGTCATGAAAAAAGCCTGAAACAGGCTATGTATTTTTTGGACTCTTGAGAAATAATTTGAGTTGTTATGCATGCAAAAGCCAATGCAGTGTTACACTGATTTAGCGTTTCCCATTGTCAAGACTAGACAGATATGGACCTTCAATATAAAGAAGTAGACTGAAGTCCAATTGAAATCTCTGCTCTTCCTCGCAAATATTTCTTATCTGAAATTACCTAATCAGCCGCTAATGATATTAGTACATTTCTCACCATACCCAACATACAGCTTTGCCTCAGTTCAAATACTGACAAAATCTGTGGCTTTGAGAATTTGTTGCCTCTTTCTGAAGGCATGGGGATTTTCTTCAAATTTCTTATTCAGGGAGAGCTGGCTGAAGAAGTTGCTATCACTACTGGGAGACCCTGGGGTTAAACTAGAGACCCTGGGTGTGATCAGACAGAGATTGTCCTGATAGATATGGTTCACTCTGGGGACAGATTGGTCCAGTCTTTTTCTCAGCATGATCAATCTTTGCGTACCTGGTCCCTGCCAGAGGCTCCTTCTTGTGAGAAGTTGTAGGTAGGATCACTCCTTTTTGGTGCATATAGGCCATTGTGAATCTTTGCGTACCCGGTCCCTGCCAGAGGCTCCTCCTTGTGAGAAGCTGTAGGTAGGATCACTCCTTTTTGGTGCAGTTGCAGCACGTGTGATCACTGGGACTGAAACAAAATAGATGGCTTAAGCTGTCCCTTTGCATAAGCCACTTGGCAGACTCAGGAAATTGAAATCATCTTCCTACTCCTCTGTGGAGGGGTACAAAGAGGAAGCAAAGTTTTTTTTAAAGTCCCATGGAAGTGCTGATGCAATTTATCAATTAACAAAAAAGATTGAAAGCTTTCTCTCTCCCCATCTCCATCTCCCTCAACAGGGCAGTGGGAAAAAGCTTTCCATTTCCCATGGTCATGATGCAGTTTAGGCAAAGCATGGTGAAGGAGACAAGGAGGGAGAAGGAGGGGGGAATATATATATATATTTCAAAGGAAAAGAAGGGCCAGATAGGACCACTTGAGCTGGGGATGCAAGGATTGCTCCAAATGACATACTGCATCTCAAAGCGAACCTATTAAGCAAATTATTCCAGCCAGAGCCAGGGATAATTTGCCCTTGTTGGCTCTTGGAGGCCAGGAGAATAGGCAGCACCAGCTTGCTTGGGAAATGTGTATGCGTGCATGCATGCCCATGTGCCCATGTGTGCACACACTAGCTTAAGGCAGTGTAGGAAACAATTCTTACAATCCCCTTGCTCATTTTTTACAACAGAGACAAAGTGGGAGAAGAAGGGAAGGAACTGTTCCCCCACCCACCATTTAGTTATGCTTTAGTTACATACAAGAGAATTATAACTGCTGTTTATTTGTAACTAACAACATCTAAGCTCTATTTTTTCAGAAAGACGCATACAAATCGTGATGTATAAAATACTGAAATTACCACTTTTATTTAAATAACATTCAAAATAATACTAAATATGTAACTATAATACATATATCCATATAAAATATCATTAATATTACAAATTAATTCATATAAAAATATTTTTTTCCATTCTACAACATTTCTAAAATTGGGCTAATGTAGTAAATGCCACCAGTTGGGGTGCTGCATTTAGGAGGAAGGATGGAAAAAAATTTTCTCAGCATTTTAAATGTTTCTAATGATGTCCTTCCTTTTATTTTTTTTTCTACCTCGGATTGGGGTTTCTGCCTAGCTCATGTGGTTTCTAAGGCAAGTTGGCAGGAAAAAGAAAAAAGCACCAGTCACAAGCAGGCAACAAAGTGCCTACCTATCAAAGAGACTCCCTGGAGAAAAGGAACAGGGGATGAAAGGAAAAGAAGGAGAAAGCATCCTCCCACAGACTCAAATTAAACAAGGAAAAGGGTGTGATCTATACCAAAGAATCACAAAAATTAGCTCCATGTGCTGCTTTTAATTCCCATAATGGTCCTCCTTCACAGCACATAGCAAAATGCTTTTCAATGGAATAGTGTCTAAATCAGTTTGTAATATGGGGCGCTTATGATCAGCTCTCCAAAAGATGAAAACATAAAATATTTATTGGGCTAGCCCAAGCAATTCATCTGAAGCTCAATGGCTCAGAAAGATCAGTCTATTTGTCACTGGGAAGGAGTTCAATAGTCCACATTTTCTGTGCCAACAGGATATCCTGAAAGTTGGCTTGATGTACTTCAACTCAATGGCTACCATGGTTTGGGGCAGAAGCAGCCCAGTACCGCAAAAAATATAAAAATATAAAAATTGACTCAGAATGCAATACAACCATGTCTAGTGCCCACTGCCCAAACATTAACATAGTTCACAGTTTGGAAGCACTGCTACTTTCAAGTAACAGCGTCCGTAAAAATTCACCTTTTTAGGGATCAGTGGTGTAACATTGCATCCAAAAGAAATGCAAAAGAGAGAGAGAGAGAGAGATTATAGTCATCTCGGGACTGTGTCAAGAATCTGGAACAATCCAAAGAAGCTGTCACGACTGCTGAGGGATCCATAATGTTTTCCATTGTTATTTGGCTTTATTGTCACATGCAGTCTGTCATTCTTTTCCAGTCGATAAAGTACAGCCTTAAAAGGCATTGTTCCCTTTGAACGGTGAGACAGGTCCAGGGGCAGAGTCAGAATAGGGAGAGAATCAGAACTATCGGCAGTATGACGATGGATCAACACACTAGCATTCATTGCCTCTTGCTTAGCGGTACTGCCAAAATTGTGTGTAAAGTTAATCTGGGTATATATACAATACAGGCCACCAACTGAAACCTTTAGTGTCTTGTTGCTATATTCAAAGGACTGTCCAAGATATACTCCTTGAATTGTTTCATTGGTGTACCAGTCCAGCTTCCTCTCGTTTATGGATGCTGCAGAGAGAATAAAGAAACCAAGGGAGAAGGTCATTTTAACACAACATCCTATTTTATTTTGCTTCATCAGATTTCCAGGAAAGAAATCCATAAAGAGCAAGATCTGTACTGTATTCTTCTCAGAAGTGCACCTCCATATTCTCTACAGTACTACAGGAGACTTGAATTTGCCTCTACCTCTGTTGCTAACATGTGCACTGTTTCTGACAGAGTAACTATTTCTGATCCAGGCTTTCCTAAGAGTTGTCTCTTCCAATCTGATCCAAATATATCATGGTACAACAGGCATGGCGTCCCACACTTGTATTGGAATGAGGCTAGGAATTCAATTCAATTTCAGTTAAATTTCAGTTTATTGTCATTGAACATACAGTACAGTGGTGCCTCGCTAGACAGTTGCCCTGCTTGACAACAAAATCGCTTACGATGGTTTTTTGCAATCCCTTTAGCGATCGCAAAACGATGGTTCCAATGGGGCTTTTTTGCTCTATGAAACCAACCGCGCCCGTTTTAGAGCACTTTGGAGGCTTTTCCTGCACCATCAGAGGACTGGCGGGGGACCTCCAAAGCTGGTGATCACAGTGAGGGGACCCCCCCCCACCAGTCCTCTCATGGTGCTTCCCCAGCTCCCTACGCCTTAAATTCCTTTTAAAAAAAATTTCCCCTTTAGGAACGCATTAATTAATTTTCAGTGCATTTCTATGGGAAATTTGGTTTCGCAAGACAGCGATTTCCATGGAACGGATTAACATCGTCTTGCGAGGCACCACTGTATATACACTGTATACACATATTTGTATGGAAGTATAATTGGGGGAAGTACTGTATTGTTTAATGTCCCTGAAATATGCCAGGTTGGAAAAAACTGTTCTATAGAGATAATGTATGAACTATAGAGAGCTTAAAAAAATAATAATTGGATATTGTCAGGTAAATTCTGGCTTATGGAAATCCTTTTCATGGTTTTCCAGGTGGAGAAAATACAGACGTGGTTTACCATTCCTTTCTTCTGGAGGCGCCTTGGGATCGTACAGCTTGCCCAAGACCACACAGGCTGGCTCATCTCCTGGGAGGCACTATGGAGAATCTCTGAGTCTTCCTGACAATGGGATTCCAATGATGCCAGGACCTCAGTGAACTTACAGGTTCAGTTTCCATTTCCTCTTCCCCATTTTAAATTGCTAGGGACCATATTTCCGACTCCAAAAAGAGAAAGGTCGGTTGGGGGTGGTGAACACATGGCTGCTTGATAGACCCCTGCTGCCCCTTGTAAATGCAAAAGAGACCCCTGACTCGATCTGATGCTGCACTGAAGATAATTTAGGCCCCTAGCATGGTGCAAGCAACACTTAAACCTTCCCCCCTGGCTTCTTAGCTGCCCTGCTCTCAGCAGCTTTCCCCCTTCTGAACCTTGTTTCCGCACCCATAAGTGGGAAACAGGTGCATTTCCCCTTGCAAGTGGAAAACCACCTGCGTGGGTGTGTGAAAACAGAGCCCCAAGCAAGGAGAAAGGATTGAGGATGTCACTCCCTTTACTCTTCCCTCCTGGAGGGCTCTGACGTGCTTCTACCGTGTTCGTCCATAGGGAGTCTCAAACATCCCCCCCCCCAAAAAAAGGGAAGGTGCGTGTCCAGCGAGGGCCGCCCATCCCAGAACCACTTGTCATCTCCTCGCACGATTTACCCAAGGACTGTCAACACCATCCGGCAGTCTGTGGGCAAAGCGCTTTCCATAGGGCTCCCGCACCCCCACCGACCCCGCGTCCGACTCTTAATTCTGCAGAGACTGAAAAAAACAAAAGATTTAAAAAAAAGTTCATAGAGAGCAAAAAAATGTTCAGGTACTCACAGGTGTTAAGTTTCAGCACGAGCTGGGCGTAATTCTAGAAAGAGAAAGGGAGAAAAAGTGAAGGTTGGCGTGAAGAGCCGCTCCAACAGCCCAGGCGAAGAAACGGGTCGCCCTCTCTCCAAGTAAGAGAGCGGGAGCGGGAAAGGCGGGCTCGCCGAAGGGGCGAAGGGAGTCGCTAAACCCCCTAAAAGCCAGGCTTTCGCGCTCTCTCAGACCTACCTGCTGCGCGGGAGGCAGCGGCGGAGGCGTTCGGGGCAGCGGCGGAGGCGTCCGGGGCAGCAGCGGCTGTTTCGTCAGCGTCACAACCAGCGCGGTGAGCGAGGCCACCAGAGACAACACAGTCAGCCCCAGCGCGCAGCGGGCGGCGGAACAGGAGCGCAAGAGCCGCGGACCGGAGAGCGCCTCTGGGACCTCCATCGGGGCGACCATCGTAGAGATCAAAGGCGCCGCGGAGTGCCTCGGGCCTGGCGCTGGCGTTTATATAGCCTCTTACGAGAGATTTTTTTCCCCCTCGTCACGTCATGGCGGAAAAACGCGGGTGGGGATGTTTTTTTCCTCATACGAGGAGTGCGCCTTTTTTGACCAACTGCATGTCTGTCCGTTTGCCGGTCTCGTCTTCCTGTCTCCTGGCCCAGGACTCTTCGGCGGCTTTTTTCTTCTTCTTGCGAACTATGCCCTACATTTTTCCACTTGTTTCGAAATGCTGTGGGAGAAAATGTTAAGAAAAGCGCCTCCTTGCTGAAGAGGCTTCTCTTTTGTGATCAGCCACGATAAACAAAATCGTTGTTTACCACTCCCTGAAGAAGGCACCCTGGGGAATCGAACTCCCAACCTCTGGCTCATACCTAAACCACTGAGCTATGCCTCGCCTTCAGTTTCTTTCCCCAGTCTGCTTCCACTTTGTACAGAACTGTTTTGCAATGGTTGGTGGCCCTCCCAAGGCAAGGTGCCTTATATCAGTCTGAAGCGGAAAAAAACATGGATACGTTATTTGGACAGCGATGGCCATAATTCCCTCCCCCAAAAGAAGAGATTTGTTAGTTAATTGAACTCGGACTTTGAGGGGTATTAAATATTAAACATATTTTAAAGTTTCCAAAACTTGGCACTTAATGAAAGCAAGTGATGCACTGTTGATCAGTGACTATTGCTTCTGCCTGTATTTTTCTTTCTTAGTTTTGCCAGTGTGCTAAAACACAGTAACAGGACTGTCTCTTTGGAAACTCAGTGTGTTGGTGCACACCACCAATAAAGGTAAAGGTTCCCCTTGACATTTACAACACCAGTACAGGTAAAGGTAAAGGTCCCCCTTGACATTTAGTCCAGTCGTGTCCAACTCTAGGGGGCGGTGCGCATCCCCATTTCCAAGCCATAGAGCCAGCATTTGTCCAAAGACCGTTTCCATGGTCACATGGCCAGCGTGACTAGACACAGAACGCCGTTACCTTCCCACCATGGTGGTACCTATTTACTCGCATTTTTACATGCTTTCAAACTGCTAGGTTGGCAGGAGCTGGGACAAGTGACGGGAGATCGCTCTGTCATGTACAGTGGTGCCTCGCTTAACGAGCGCACCGTTTAACGAAGCCACAAATATATCTAGTAGTAAAAAAGAAACTGTGTCTTAGCCTGGAGACATCATAGAAATCATACAAAAATGAAGTTGGAATAGGCCTGCAAGGCCATCAAATCCAACCCCCTCCTCAATGCAGGAATACAATCAAAGCATATCTGCCAGATGATTATCCAAGTTTTTCTTGAATGCTTTCAGGGTTGGAGCAATCACCAACTCCCAAGGTGAGTGGTTCCACTGTCGTACTGCTCTAACAGGATGTTTTTCCTGATATTCAACTGAAATCTGGTTTCCTTTAATCTTGAGCCCAAGTCTGGGAGGATCGAGAACAAATCTTGCCCCTCCTCTATATGATAGCCTTTCAAATATTTGAAAAGTGCTATCATATCACTGCTCAGTTTTCTTTTCTCAAGGCTAAACATGCCCAATTCTTTCAGCCTTTCCTCATAGGGCTTGGTTTCCAGTCCCATGATCATACATCTCACCCTCCTCTGAACTTGTTCAAATTTGTTAGCATCCTTCTTGAAGTGTGGTGCCCAGAATTGAACACAGCACTCAAGGTGAGGCCTAACCAGTGCTGAATAGAGGGGGTCTAGCACCTTGTGGGATTTGGGAACTATACTATTAATGCAGCTTAAAATAGCATTTGCCTTTTTTGTAGCCACATCACACTGTTGGCTCATATTTAGCTTGTGATCTATGACAATTTTTGCTGAGTCAGGTATCCCCCATCTCATAACCAGTTGGCAGCATTGTTGTTGCAACAATATGTTACACCCCACTCTACAACAGGTGGTAGTCCAGCAGAGCTTTTAATAAATAGAAGGCTGACTACGATCCTTGATAGGTTGCACCCAGACTTGTCAGCAGAAGCATCACATGTACGGGGGAAAGTGTGGGTCTTTCACCCTGAGGACCTGGTTTATGCCTGTAACTATGGTAGGGGCCCTGATTGGGTGCCAGCAGCAATAGCTATGGCAACTGGGCCATTGACATATTGAGTGACAATGCCTGAGGGCCAGGAATTGTGATGTCATCTGGATCAGCTGTGGCAGAGATGGCCAAGGAGGATTTCAGCAGCTGAGGACAACCCAGAGACAGAGACACTGGAAGGTGCGTCATCCCGGGCAGCAGAGATTGTGCCATAGCCCCTTATAGATCCACTAATAGTGCTAAGACCAGAGGGTAGTTATGCAAACCAGATCATGGACTAGGGGCAGTGTTGGCACAGGAATGGGATGGGAAGGAATATCCAGTGATGTATCTAAATAAAAAGTTATCCCCCAGGGAACAAAAGTACAGTGGTGGCTCACATAGCGAGGTTAATCCGTTCCGGATCACATCACACTGTTGGCTCATATTTACCTTGTGATCTATGACAATTTTTGCTGAGCCAGGTATCCCCCATCTCATAACCAGTTGGCAGCATTATTGTTGCAACAACATGTTACACCCCACTCTACAACGGGGTAGTCCAGCAGATCTTTTAATAAATAGAAGGCTGACTACGATCCTTGATAGGTTGGACCCAGACTTGTCAGCAGAAGCATCACGACATGTAGGGGGGAAAGTGTGGGTCTTTCACCCTGAGGACCTGCCTGTAATTATGGTAGGGGCCCTGATTGGGTGACAGCAGCAAAAGCTATGGCAACTGGGCCATTGACATATTGAGTGACAATGCCTGAGGGCCAGGAATTGTGATGTCATCTGGATCAGCTGTGGCAGGACCCAGACTTGTCAGCAGAAGCATCACGACATGTAGGGGGGAAAGTGTGGGTCTTTCACCCTGAGGACCTGCCTGTAATTATGGTAGGGGCCCTGATTGGGTGACAGCAGCAAAAGCTATGGCAACTGGGCCATTGACATATTGAGTGACAATGCCTGAGGGCCAGGAATTGTGATGTCATCTGGATCAGCTGTGGCAGAGATGGCCAAGGAGGATGTTAGCAGCTTAGGACAACCCAGAGGCAGAGACACTGGAAGGTGGGTCATCTCGGGCAGCAGAGATTGTGCCACAGCCCGTTATAGATCCACTAACAGTGCTAAGACCAGAGGGTAGTTATGCAAACCAGAGTGTGGCAGCAGGATGTTGCAACCTTGCAAGAAGTGTTGCAAGAAGCTGGAGAGGTAGGGAGTTTAAAAAATGGGGAGAGTGGCTTAGAATTGGTGGATGGGCTTTTGTACCATATGGGCCAAGAGGGTAACAAATAATTACTAGTGCCATCCAAGTGGAGAAGGGAGGTGTTATAGCTGGCTCATGACATCCCGATGGCAGGACATTTAGCTTTGGAAAAGATGAAAGCAAGAATATTACAGAGGTTTTGGTGGCCAGGCATGGGTAAGGAAATGGAAGACTATTGTAATACTTGTACACAATGCCATATCACCCAAAGGAAGCCGAGACCTGGAGCCCCACTCATCCCAATGCCCCTGGTGGATCACCCCTTTGAAAGAGTAGGAATCGATATAGTAGGACCTCTGCTGAAGTCCACACACACATTTTAGTGTTGATAGACTATGCCACTAGATATCCGGAGGCCATACCTCTGAGGTCAACCACTTCCAAAGTAATAGCGAAGGAACCGATGCAAGTTTTCATGACACTAGGATTCCGCTGGAAAGTACTGAACGATCAAGGTACCAACTTCATGAGTCAAACCCTGAAGGAGATGTGGAGATTATTAGAAGTTAGGCCTTACATACTGCGGTTTACCATCCTCAGACCAATAGACTAGTTGAGAGGTTCAAGAAGACACTGAAGGGGATGCTACGGAAGTTAGTTATAAGCAAGCCCAAAATATGGCATTTGTTGGTAGCACCCCTCATGTTTGCAGTTTCAGAGGTACCACAGGTGTCCACAGGGCTCTCCCCATTCGAAATGATGTAAGGTTGGAATCCTAGGGGGATACTTGACTTAGTAAAGGAAAAGTGGGAAAGTGGTAAAGATTGAGGCATAAACGGGGTGAAGCGTGTAGTAGAAATTAGAGAACATCTGAATAAGGTGGTCCAAATGGCCAAAACAAATCTGGGGATGGTACAGCAGGAATAAAATAGGAGATATGACCAAAATGTTAGACCTAGACAATTTCAGCCAGGGCAAAAGGTCTTTCTTTTATTGCCAGCGGAGAATGCAAAGTTATTTGCCCAATGGCAGGGTCCTTATGAGGTTATAAGAAAAATAGGAGAAGTAGATTACGAAGTCAAAATGCCAGATAAGAAAAAGAATGGAATTTTCCATGTGAACTTGTTGAAAGAGTGGCAAGAAAGAGAGGCCTTATGGGGAGAGATAAAGGAGGAAGGTTTGGAGCCTGAGGCAGTGATATATTCCCAAGGAGCATCTGATATTGGGTTAGGAGAAGGATTAACAGAGGAACAGGTACGTCAAGTTAGGGAATTGGAGGCTAAATATCAGGAAGTGTTTTTGGATAAACCAGGCTATACAACCCAAATTGAACACCAAATAAATACCAAACCAAATGTAGTGGCTAGGTCAGGTGGAAGGAGTTGGCCTTATCACCTAAAAGAAACTATTAATAGGGAAGTAGGAGAGATGCTAGAGATGGAGGTGATAGAGCCTTCAAGAAGTCCATGGAGAAGCTACCCAGTGGTGGTGCCTTAGGCAGATGGGAAGATACGGTTATGCATAGACTTCTGAAAGTTAAGTGCAGTGTCACCATTTGATGCTTACTCTATGCCTAAGGTAGATGATCTTCTGGAGCAATTGAGCAAGGCTAAATTTCTGTCATAGTTAGATCTTATGAAGGGTTATTGGTAAATTCCTCTTAAAGAGGAAGATAAAGAGAAAACAACTTTTGTGACCCCAAAAGGGTTATTCCACTATTCCATTATTCCATATGCCATGTGAGCTGCTTGGGGCAGCAATGACGTTCCAGAGATAAATGGATAAAGAAGAACCAGTCCAACAATTTGCAGGTGCTTATA